AGAACTCAGGGTAAGCTACAGGCATCAGCAACTTTCCAGGACGACGAAAAAATATTATGTTGTAAAGGGAGAATGTTTTGAAAAGGAGTAATTATTTAGCGATTATGGAATATATATTCACTTTTTTTAACAAAACAATGAAGTCCAGGCCAACCTTGAACCACGTTCGAACGCCGTACATACTGACAGCATGGCATCATACAAGACATGTTGCAGACACATTCGCAACCCTGAAAAGTTGGTTCAGAGGAAATTGTTGTCTTTATCCCCAGGTTTAAAGCGTAAACCAAGTATCAAGATGAACTGAAAAGGATTTGGAAAACAGAGTTCATAGATTACTATCCCGGAATTTCCTTGGAAAGGCAGTGAGAATCCACGATAAATAGTGTTAAAGATAGATTGTGTCCCGGGAGAGATTCAAACCGATCATTTCCCGAATAAGAGTCTACAGCCCTACCACTGCGGCAACCTGCTCACTGGCTGCTGTACCGTAGAAGAAGAAGAACAACAACAAGAGGGTTGAACAAAACATTCTTCTCGTAAGGCTTTGTAGATGATCCCAAACTTCTGAAAACGAATGCCGCATTTACGTATAAGCTAAATGCTGTATCTTCGGGCCCAGTAACATGAGGGACCTACAAAGAAGAGAGTAGAAAATATAACCCGGAAACAAATACACAACGGAAGCCTGTAAAATGCTGAAGTAACGGAGTTCCGACTGCCCCTCGTCGGATTGTGCACAGTAAGCACACACACACAGGAACAGTTGTGATAATTGAAAGCAGAACGGGACGTAAGATCACTCGCTGCTGTTCAGCTGTTCGATTCCTGCGAAGCGATGTATTTGCGCAGTTCCGTTGCACAAGGAGCACAACTTCGTTGTTGAACCAAACTCATGCAACATCCGCTGAGATTTCAACGGTAAGGCTCGACATTTGTTACACAAGCTTTCGTACTATTAACTTCATCTGCTTTCTCCCGCATTGCTTTACATTCCTACATGTTATCGATGTTTAACGCCATCTCCCACGAATAGCACTCGCAAATATGTAATGACAAATCATCTCATATATGTGGTTGTACAGAAAACTGCATTATGGGGAGCTTCGTAGCTTGTACCCCTCGCCAAGTATAATTAGAATTATCAAGTCATGGACAATGAATGTAGCACGAATGGGGACAAGAAGTATGCATAGAGGATACTGGTGGGAAAGCCAGAAGGAAACACTAGGAAGACCAAGAAGTAAGTGGGTGACTAATATTAAAATGGATCTCAGAGAGATAGGATAGAGTGTTATGGACTGGATTGATCTGGCTCAGGATAGGGACCAGTGGATGGCTCTTGTGAACACGGTAATGAACCATGGGGTTCCATAAATTTTTGGGAAGTTCTTGAGTAGCTGCATAACTGGCGGCTTCTCAGAAAGGGCTCACCTCCATGAAGTTAGCTACACTTCCTTTACCACATCAAAATGAAAGCTGCATACTTATTCGTACTTAACACATAACTTGCTTTCGCGAAACGCGCTAACGCTCAACAACTCGTTGCCATGGTAACCTGAAATTTTCTAATATCATAGCTTTCATCTCGCCGTTACTTCATTCATATATAGAGACTATGAGCTGTATAACGCGTGCTCCTAAATCATTTTATCGCTCAACACTACCATAACAAATCAAATCAGTCTCATTTAAAAGCAGTATAAATTCAACAGATATAATTTTTTGTCTTTAGCTACTTTCTTTAGTCTGAAAAAAAACGCAATTAGGCTTATGTGATTACCATGCTGTCTGTGAATCTGGGTATCCCGCGCTATCAACTTTTGAATGCCTGAACCAACCTTTACGAAGCTTGGTATGTATATCATGACACCTGAGCCCATCTCAACGGCATACTTCATAAATCATAAATCAGTCTGTGTCTGCATGTGTATCCCCCTATCGTTGCTAGGCAACGGTTCGGTAAAAATCCCCCTATCTATCCTAGGCAAACGGGTCGGTGTAAACGTTACAGCGACAACGAATACACAAGCAGAAATAGAGGAATTGCTGGACGCGTCGTTTTCTGCGGGGTCCGTATCTTATCAAATGAAAGTAGGATTTCTTCCCAAAACTTCTTGTTTTTAATTGAAGTTGTGATCAGGACATTGCTACTCGTTGACTACTGAAGTTTGGAAACGTATCCATAGCGCTTCGTTTAATTATCTCGGAAATCGTAAGACCTACAGAAAAGTGTATTCCCCATAAGAATACGTTTCACTGAATCTTCTGTTCGAAACCTATTTCTCGCCGATAAGCACTCAGCAGGTTACGTTCGATATACGGGCAGAAATTGATGTACATCTTCAAGCAGAGTAGTCGCTAAAATTGTCTGAACCAAATTAAAACTGAATTATTTCACAATTATTAATAAAATATTCTAATACCAAATTTAACAAAAATCCTTTGGGCGGTTGAGTTGTTTCATGTGAACAGACGGAGCTACGAACTGAGAAAACCTCATACATGCTTAACCGGACTACGAACGCCTCAACAGGAGACTTATGCGTGCCTCATTTTTCTCAGAAAGTTGGGCCTAGCGAAATCTTCATCCGACCTCATTGCACAGGATGTAAAGGTTCGATTTCGTAGTAAATTAGTGACACGCCGTAGCGTAGTTGGTTGAGGCACTACGCTACAAGTCGGAAGGTCGCGGATTCCATTCCTGATGACGTCATTAGATTTTTCAATTGACCTAATCCTTCCAGCAGCGGTCAATTGCGACCAGCATGTAAGTCTGACAGCCTCACCGCCATCTGTGAGCTGATTGTTTAGAGAATGTGGAGCTTCGACGTCTCACAACCCCATGGGCCTCCACGGTAGCTTTACCTGCTGTTCATAGTAAGTGCCGTCTGCATTATGCCTTGCGAGACCACGTCACGTCTCCCATTCATTCACTTCAAGTTTCTAGCTGCCGTGCGTATGTGCAGTAAGACGACACGATTATCCGCATGTGCTTATTCGGAACGTGCTTTAAGTGACAACATCAGTTCCTTCAGATGACATGTAGCCGGGGGCTATGTTTCCTGCCTGATCACAACGGCTCCGAATTGTAACACTTGAACAATATAGTTCCTTGGACAAGGACCTTCCTACTTGCATGTTACAAAGAGAAGTACTCCTTCTTCCGGGATATGAGCCCTTTCCTTGTCAGAATCACAAGACATATTAGCTAAAACTTTAAAGCAGGAATGACACTAAAACGAAGAACACAAATAGCTTTAAGTAACGTGGATGAGGTTCGCGCTACAGCTTAAGCCGTTAGTTGCTCGTTTCCCACCGCGGCGGCTGTGGTTCGAGCCCGGGTCTGGTCATGTGGAATTTGTGGTGCACAAAGTGGCACTGGGGAAAGGTTTTCTTCGAGTACTTCGGTTTCCTCTCTCAATTTTCATCCCACCAATTGCTCCAGTATCTCTCTCATCTATCATCTGGGGCTGGTACAATGGGGCAGAAGTGGCCGCAGTACAAAGTGGACTTAGTCACATTGCACTAAGAAGGGGGGGGGGGGGGGGAAAGGGGGCGGAGCAGTGGNGGGGGGGAAGAAACGTGGATGAAGATTCGAGTCGCACCGGAAAAATCTACCGCAAAACTTGCATATCGCTTTGACAGCCGTGTCCACAATTTATATTGGTAAGAGTGACGAGTATATTTGAGAATATATTTGGATGTCCCTTTTTTAGTTGGTAATTTGATGACGATGTAATTATGAAAACTATATAGCGTCAATGATAGGATCAATTAAAGTGGCTAACTGATGGGTTCGTTGTACTAATCTGGAAAGAAAACATTTGCATTTACACAGAATGTCCCAGGATGAAATCAATATTCAGGGAGGTCATAGTATCGGTCGTTCTAAGCAAAAAAAATTGTGTATGTACACATGTCCTATACCGAAAGGTTTCTGAGAAACGGTTATTTTACTGGACAGTTTCTAAATTGTTCGTAAGAAAGATATATTACGTACTATTTCTAATACAGGTATTTATTGTTCAGGGGACTAAAGTTGGTACAGCTTACATAGTATAATACTCTTTACAAAATTCCACTGTAGGCATCAATGCACTTTGCAACTCGTGTGAGGACATGCCGTGTTTTTCGTCTGTACAGTGTACAGTATATGAAATAGATCCCGTAACTCGTTCGGAATAGGACCCATGTGCATATACAATTTTTTTTTTGCTTAGAAAGACCGATACTATGACCTCCCAGAATATTTACCTTTCCTCCTGGAACACTCTGTATATGCAAACGTTCTGCAAATAATTGTAAATAGGCCACAAAATTATGTTTATTATTTACATAAACAATTATGTATATAAAAAATAAACAAATAATTTTGTGACAAAACTGCTATGCATCTTGGTTGTCTGTCACGAAGAAAAAAATTAAAATTATTTTTTTCACCAGTACTTACATTTCAGACGTGCCGAAAATTTTTAAATAAATTCATAGATGATAAATACACTCTATTCATTAAATTATGTGGAAAAAACGATATATTAAGGCGGAAATATTACTCTCTTCTGGGATGTGATGCCATGTAATCTTGCAGAAATTTTCAGACGTTTCGGAGGGATCTGAAAGCTTCATCTTCGACTTTCCTGATGGAGGCAGCACGTCCTTCGGAAACCTTGGTAAATTTCAGCCAGACTGCACGGCATCACATCCCAAAAGAGAACAGTCTTCATATTGAAGACAGTGAGAAGCTGAGAGCTCGCCTATTTCAGCTAATTCTAGCAGTTGGGAATTGGATACCTGCTATAACAGGCATGAAGGCAATTTCATGAATCTTGTAGCATATGTTAATGGAACATCCAAGCTACTGTCTCAATGTACGAGTACGTCTCCTACAGAACATTTAAAAATCATACAAACCTCAGTCTTATCCCTTCAAATAAACAGATTAACATCACATAACATACACATTCAGGTGAACCTAACAATGAATTGCAGGCACTTACCGCCATCTGCGTGCGTGATGACGAACCAGGCGACAATGCAGAAGGTGACGTAGCGAAGCATTGTTGTTGTCTTCCTAAGGATGATTCTCAACAATCAACGGGCAGAGAACAGCGCGTCTGGAAATCGAAGCCAAGTGTATGTTAAGCAACGATCATATCATCGCGTGGCGTGTGGACTCAGATGCAGTTTGTCTGCGCCGACAGCCACAGGTGCACTGGCAACTCCCAAACATTTCCCTTCCGCGCAGGCGCTCTACGTCCAGACCGGAAACATCCTTTTCCCTTAATGACTCGTGGATCGAACTTCTGCTACCCCGACTGGAGTTTTGGTGGACTACCTCAGTCCGATGGTGCCCTTAATATCCGGTCTGCACGAATGGTCGTCACAAGTCTCCCCTACAATGCGTGGACCGGGTTCATGGTCGAACCTAGTCTAATATGTCCTACAGTAGCAATGGACAGCCATTATCGATTTTAAAAATTTGAGTGCCTCCAAAGATCATTAATAAACTACTATAAAAATTAAAATTGTCCTTCAACTTAATTAAGCACGACATGAAGACGGAAGTATAATGTAACGTATTTTTAACATCAGCTTCACTCCACGGCCGCTTTAACCCAGAGGAAACGGAACCCCAGTACCCATTGCATAGGAGGATCGGTGAGCCGAAGAGCTGGTCTGGTTAATGATTATGATGATGATGGTGATAATTATAATGATAATGTTAACAGATGACAATTAATTAACTGAATCTCTAGTTGAAACCAAGGAACCAACAAAATAATAATGAGTCACTTGAAATCAAATTGAAAAGATAATCAGAAATACTACCCTAAGAAGATGGCAAATTCTTACGATGTCAACATTTGCTATAAAGATGGCAAATGCGAATAGGAGAATTCTCCCTCAGTTAATGCGATCAGCAGAGATTTTCATTTTTAAAACGATGCGAACAGGCGCTTGCCAAACATCGCTTGTACAGATTCATTTGTTTCATAAAGATAAAAAAAGAGAGAAGAAAATGCACTTCTTTGTCTGCTTATCGTGCGCATAATCCAACCACGGTCGTCTCTACGAAAAGACTTCTGGGAAATATGTTCAAAGATCCATGAGCCATTTTAAAAGTTTCATCATAAGAAAACAGTGATCCGTTTGCAAAGAGCTGCGTTTTTTATTAACCGACTACATGCTTCCCCATGAAATGCAATCTTACAAATGTATATAAGAATGAAAGATATGAGGAGGCTTCCACATTACACGCAACAAGACTATCAGCTCACTGCGGGACACGCATCTGCCTGCAGGGTGTATCAATCAAGTCGTCGTTATGCAAGAGCATTTCAAGATTATTGACTTTCTGGACGTCATCCACCGTCCTATTTTTATTTAAAATATTCCCCATAAACCTTGAACAATACAAACATAACAAACATCGAAGTGTTAACTAGTATAGTTCGTTGCGTTCGGTATTATGCAAGATTGTTTTCTTAATTCAGCAACACGTATATAACAAAGCCGGCAGTAAGCAACAGTTCAGTCCGGTTCTTGTGCCCGCGCCATAAAATCGCATGTCACACGAAACAAAGTTGCAAGCGTCTGTCCCACAGAGTACATATAAATTCCAAGTAAGTCCGCTGCAACGTTTCATGCCTCGTTCGTTTTCATGATCATTTATTTCAATGATATATCTTATTTCATGAATAAGTTTTATGTATATATATATATAATATTGTATGCCTCCGTGGTCTAGTGATCAGAGTTCCTGGCTACAGATCCGAAGGTCCATAGTTCGATTCCCGGCGCTACCAGTTTTTCTGAGAAGTAGTGGGTCTGGAACGGGGTCCACTCAGCCTCGTGAGGATAATTGAGGAGCTATTTCAATTAAAGAGCGGCTCCGGTCTAGAAAACCGAGATTAACGGCCGTGGGGTTCTGTTGCGCTGACCATGTGACACCCTCCAGCCGCAAAAGTTGGCACTAACGTCGCCGACAAGCGGCGGTCGCTCGGTCAGTATAGTTCGCTTGCGGACAACAGGTCACGGAGTATAATATTGCATTCAGACATCATATTGCATTGATGTAGGGGGCACGTGATAGCATAGTTGATTGAGGGACGATGCTACAAGCCAGGAGATGGCGGGGTTTGATCCCCGATAAAATTATCGGATTTTTCAATTGATCTAAACCTTCCAGCCACAAAGTGGTCTCTGGGGTTGACTCAGCCGCTAACAGAAATGAGTTCCAGGAATCTTCCTGGGAGTAAAGGGTCACCGGCGTGTAAGGCTGAAAACCTTACCGCCATCTGTGAGCAGACTGTCTGGAAAATGTGGGTGCCTTGACCTCTCACAAAACGTATTGGCCTCGATTACCTGTTACAGGGATAGTTCTACCTTTTGTTTTGCACTAATGTATTTACTTGCATACATATATTTCCGTCTCAAATGTAACGTATTACCATGTCCTACTTCATCAGTATATGTTAAGGCCGTATAATAAAATTAGATAATTAGGCTACTGATTGGCCTATTGTAGCCTCCCCGGGTGATTATGATGGAGAATTTGGTGGAATGAAGATTGGCAGGGGAAACCGAAGCACTCGGAGAGAACCCGCCCCAACGCCACTTTATCCACCACAAATCCCACTTGACCAGACCCGGGATCGAACCCGGGCCGCCGCGGTGGGAAGCCAGCGACTATCCGCTTGAGCTATGGCACGGCCAGGGGTCATACATTAGTCATAGGGTTAAGTTTACCTTTTTCGTGGTTAATATGAAGAACTTCCCACGCCGTTTTCCCTAAATTTGATAAGTGGCCGTTAAGCTCCTTACTCACATTTAAACTCTTCCGCTTTCTGAATGTGAGAAACATATTTCCCAATTAAAATGACCCCATGCGTGCATATTGTATTGTGCGAGCACATGCGCTACGTTAACATCAAGAAGTCTCCTAGAGACGAAATAATTTAACGAGGGGTCAACACATCAGATCAATAGGGCTCTTCTTATGCACCAGTACGACTTATTGACTCATCGCTGCCCGAACTGTCACGTACATCTGAGTAACGCATATATAATTACTAGGTCCAACCTTTCTTTGAAACGCATCTGTCAAGCTGCATTTCCTTCATAAGAGACAGCCTGGACGTAGATTGATGTATTTCTCTGTAGAAATGGGCTCTCGACCTGTCCTCAGACTACCTTCCCCCCCCCCTTTCGGTGCAGAGAATCTCAGCATCTGATCCCAAGATAAATTGACTGTTATATTTCTTTCTTTTGCATCATCATTGGTCTTTTCTATGCATCTTTTCGGCAACATTTTCTCCCAATTTTAATCTAATTCTCTCAGTTTCTTGCACGCTATCCATGAAGCACTGGACTTGTACTATGGGGCCTGAGATGAGTGAAAGAAACGTGTCCCGACATCTCTTAACGGTTAAAAGTAAATTTTCATTGTTTTTGAACAACGAAAGTTTAACATGAAAATGTATATATTATTTAAAATAGGCATCTGTCCTAAAGGAGACTAAAACCGAAAGAGCTGTACAACCAAGGGGGAAGCGGGGAGATTATATTATTTAAATAAAACCATCATGAAAAAGATTAATATTGATGGTTACATAGAAAAAGGTAATGCTCTCCCTGTAAGAGGGCGTGGAGGCCCCCACATTTTCTAGACAATCGGCTCATAGATAGCGGTGAGGTTGTCAGTCTTAAGCTCCGGCCGTTCTTTACCCCCAGGAAGTTTTCTGGTACTCATTTCTCTTACAGGCTGAGTCGACCCCAGGGTCATAGTGCGGCTAGAATCATTACAATTGAAAACTCAAATGACATGGGGAATTGAACCCGCGACCTTCCGGCTTCTAGCATAGTGCCTCAGCCAACTACGCTACTGCTTGCCCCTGTGGTTACATAGACCTAACATTTATTTATAGGTCAACACTTCCTTTCTGCCCTCGAAGAATTCCGTAGCGACGCGTGACAATTAAGTTCTCACAGCGCTAAATATGAAAGGTACTGTCTTATGTTACTCGTATATGAGGCCGTGTAGTCCGGTAGATCATTATCGATCAGACTATATGGCGACATATTCCATACGGCAGTGATCGACACTGTAACATCACTGTAAAACACAGAAAGACTGATTACTCCCAGATTTCAGCATTCTTTGATGTTGCACGCAAATACTGACCAGATCATCAGGAGTACGAATCTCCTAGGTGGTGCCTCAAATGAGGCCACGACCACTTCCCCCCATTCTCTCCAATTCATTATGCATTGATCATGCAAGCTTTCGGCACTCAGTTTGAGCTATTGAGAGTAGGTTAAATAAACCATAAATAAAACAAAATACTCGTAAGTCACCTAAACTAAGGGAGAGAAACAAATGGACCCAGTGGTCCTGTGGTGTCCCCCACATTATAATCTGGGTGCCTAAAGCAGAAAATATTTCCGAGGACCACCAACTGTTGAAAGGCCCCAAATATCACACAATGCGATCCGAGGACTCAACGTCCCAGAGTCACGTGACTATTGATCACTAACATCGCTTCTTCCCTCCACCCCCTTCCATCTCCGGTCCTCAGCGATTCGTCCTGAGACCTGCAGACTGTTCTATCACAGACAATCACACAACGAAGAACAAAAGAACGTAGGGACTATATGAAGCCTCGTTAAAACACAACGCCATTCCAAGTTCCATGATCATTACGGTAGGGGCGCTCATTTTCTTTTGATTAACTTTTCTTCTTGCAAGTTCCGGAGTCCCAGTGCAAGCTGCAATGTGCATGGTAATGTGACGAAGCGGGTTACAGTACTGGTGACGTCCCTACATTCATATTCTGGAAGTGACTGTTTCATTTCACAGCAGAGAACACCACTTATCCAGACTGGGTGTAATCATGGTCTTCCTCAGTCTCTCCATGAGGATTACGGAACAGTACCTGCACTGGAGTGTGACGGCTTCTTTCCAAATACTTTTCAGTTCCTCAATCATCTATCTATCTATCAATCTATGTATCTACCTACAAGTATCTATGGCTCTACAGCCCCCTTGTTCGGCTTTGGTCGCTTTTTCAGCTTGTCGACATTTTACAGAGTTGGTACGACTCCTTGGATGGGGAATCAACCTGCCGCAAAACCGCTACCTCCACACAGAACAAAAGCATACAGACATCCATGCCTCGAGCGGAATCTGAACCCATGATCCCAATGTTTGAGCGGGCGAAGGCAGTTCATGCCTTAGACCG